GCTTCTCCAGGTTTCTGTAAGTACCAGGCTAACAAATCATCAGAACCATCATTGTACACATCTGTGCTGGTTCTACAGTTGATTTTGACTGTTTCTTCTGGTTGAGCTGCTGTCGTTGAGGGACTCTGAGTGACGCTGATCTGTCCTCTACTCTCTGAAACACACAACAAGAAGAAAATCAACTCAAAACTCTGACAATATACTTGAAGAAATTAATTCATATCAAACTTGTGCTCCACAAACCTTGAGCAAACGCTGTGAGAGTCCAGATGAAGATGATGATGAAGGTCATGTTGCTGAAGATTGTTGTGTGTGTCAGTGATGAAGTGTTAAACTCACAGCACTATAAACACTCTCAGAGCACTGAAGCATCTGATCAATATGCAAACACTCCACATCATTTACCTGAAGACAGCAGAAACAGTTTTACTATTTATTATCTTTGTTAATAAATAAAATGTTTTCCATTTTCAGAAACAAACACGCATGATTTACTGCTTGTTAATTAATTATTTATTCTAGGTTGACCTTCTCTCTCCAAACACTGTTTTAATGATGGGTTTCATTGAGGTTTGGATGCTGAGAGCATTTAATACCTGTGTTACAGATTTGATGTCATCCATGATACTGTATAACAGGTCAAAGGTCATTCATATTGCTGAAGATTCATTATAAAGCAGGTGAATAGAATTAATGTAAATGCGAGGAATGTATTTTGAGACTGATTATGAAACAAATGATTTCAGTCTGCATACAATAACAAGGATTTATTAATAGGATTTATTAATAACAAGGTGTCCCATATCAGTGTGTGTGAGTGTCGTGGAGTTTGTGTTCATTTGAGTGTGACGGAGGTTTTTGTACGACTCTTTCACTAGAATGAAGCACTGTGCTACACTTTTGGTGGAGGAACTGAACTGGTGATCAGAAGTAAGTCTTTCTTAAATTATTTAATAAAAATATATCATGTGTGTGCGTGAATTATGAATTGTAAAGTTTCAGTCTATTTTATTGATTGACTGCACCTTCAAAAAAATTACTGTATATATTATGAATAAGTCATATTTGGTGATATTCCATGTTTTTTTTACATTTCAAACCATAGTTCATATGTGTACTTACTTTTTTACATGAGTAATTTCAAACCTAGTGTATGATAACTTTTCAATATATTTGAATCAATTGCAATATTTTAGGATTTTTTAAAAATAATTTCTTCATATATTTCATTTTGTGCATGACAAAAAAGCTGGATGCAATAGCTAAATATTTAATTTAATTGGTGTCATCATCAGGAAGAAAAGAAATTCAGCTGATAAACGTAAAAATAAATTACTTAAACTATTACGTTTACTTTATGTTTATGAAAAAATGCCCTGAATTATGACTATTTTCAAAACACAAATAATATATAAAAATAATCAATTATAAAAACATCACAACAAAATTATCAATATGCATTTGAAGAGATGTTTTATAAAATCAGTTTAAACATTTTACTTAATTGAGAAAGTAACAAATTTGCACACATTTTACAGTATATCATGTTTGCTTTAGAGAAGTGATATATATATATATATACAGTATACAGTATCTTATGCTTAAAACACTGTAAAAAAATAAATATGTAAAATTTACAGCAAAAATAGCAGCTGTGATTGCAAGACTTGTTGTACTTCACTTCCAAAAACTGTAAATTTTATCAGTGTTTTACTCTAAAATTACATGAAATGTCCAGTTAGATTTGTTACAGTTTTTCACTGTATATAGTAGAAGAACTTAGCCTTAAGCAATTAACAGGATTTTACTCTAACATTTTTTACAGTCTTGTACCATTAAAATTACAATAATTTCACTGAATAAATTTTTTAATACTAAATATAAAAGTAGCTAATGGAGAATATTTTGGAACTGAATTTAGGATATTTGTGTTATATGAATGAAAGCAGTGATGTGGAGTTACAGTAAAGATGAACTGATTGTGATTTTGACTGCATTATCACATCTGCTCCAGTGAAGATTGTAACTGCAGATGTGAAGAAGTGAGTGTTGTGTGTGTTTGTGTGTTTCAGCTGGTCCCGCAGTGAAGCCCTCCGTGTCTCTGCTGCCTCCCTCTTCTCTGCAGATAAGTATAAGTCAAGTATACTTAAATGTCATTTTAAGTATATTTCTGAGAAGTACATAAAGCCCATGTCTGAGAAGTACATAAAAATTAAACTGAAAGTATACTTTCCTATTTTTAGTTTAAAAGACGTATACTAATAGCACACTTGAATAAACTTCTTTTTCGTAAGGGTAAAGCTGCCAATGCAAATCTGATTTTTACCTCAAACTCACAGTTTCCCTGTTTGAAATGCTCTGAACTGAACAGTTTCACTTCTGCTCATGAGAAATGAGACAGTTATAAAGTTTGAGTGGTAGTTTCATAAAGCAGTTTATCAAGAATAGGTATGACTGTAAGGATGAGTGTAGAACAATCTACAAAAACCCCACAACAACTATAGAACTGGAACTGAGAAAAAACATATTTGTGTTTGATTTGCTATCAATTTTCTCTAATTCTGAGCATAACTGAGTCAAACTCATCTGTCACAGGACAGATCACAGTCTAATACAGGTGCATCTCAATAAATTAGAATGTCGTGGAAAAGTGTAAAGTGCAATGTGAGTGCAGCCCAGCGGGGGAGGAGGGGGCTTGCGCTTGGGCTCGGTTTAAGGCAACTGTGCCTAGGGTGAGTACACCCTAATAGAGCTGATTTGACTCCTAACTCAGTTTTGAGCTCATGTGTAGTTCTGTGTTTGGTCTCTGTGTGTCAGTAGTGTGTGATAGTGTTTGAGCAGCTGCAGCATCAGTTCATCACTGTGACTCTGACTGACGAGGTTTTTGTATGACTCTTTATCACTGTGTGAACACATTAACACTGTTGATTTCATGTACACTCTGACAGTAATAATGTCCAGCATCTTCAGTCTGGACTCCAGTGATGGTCAGAGTGAAATCACTGTTAGATCCACTGCCACTGAATCTAGATGGAGTTCCTGACTCAAGGCTTTTTGCATAACGAATAAGGAGTTTAGGAGCTTCTTCAGGTTTCTGTAGGTACCAGAATAAAGCATCATCCCCATCACTATATCTGTACACATCTGTGCTGGTTCTACAGTTGATTTTGACTGTTTCTTCTGGTTGAGCTGCTGTCGTTGAGGGACTCTGAGTGACGCTGATCTGTCCTCTACTCTCTGAAACACACAACAAGAAGAAAATCAACTCAAAACTTTGACAATATACTTGAAGAAATGAATTCATATCAAACTTGTGCTCCACAAACCTTGAGCAAACGCTGTGAGAGTCCAGATGAAGATGATGATGAAGGTCATGTTGATGAAGATTGTTGTGTGTGTCAGTGATGAAGTGTTAAACTCACAGCACTATAAACACTCTCAGAGCACTGAAGCATCTGATCAATATGCAAACACACTCCACATCATTTACCTGAAGACAGTCACTCATTATCAGACACAAAATACTGTTACTAATTAATCTTTCAATATTAGATCTTCTAATAGCCAAGCTGTTATAAATTATATCAGATCATTCACTTACGAATAAATCTAGAAGACCAACATTAGTATATTATCCTGACTCTCTCCTGTGAGACTTTGAGAATATTTTTGACTGTAGTTGGATAGAAACATGACTGTTAATTCCTAAATTTTATGCCAAATCCAAGGATGTTCCTGCAGGTTTTTACAGACATGAGGATCATCACACGAGTCTCTGTCAATCACTGAATCAACTGAGTTTAATTGTGAGTCGCGTCACACATGATATAAAGTAAAATGTTTATTTTTTCCATAAATTCAGTTTCATGCTTTAGTAATAATTCAGACTGCATAAAGCAGATGAAGTAACTGAAGGTAATTTGTGCTGTGAGTGGATGTGTTTGTTGGAGACTCAGTTGATGTGTGTTTGTGCAGTTAGTGAAGCGTTCAGGAGGTTTTTGTTCAGCTGCTCTATTAGTTTCTATCACTGTGGTGGACTTTCGGCAGCGGCACCAAACTGGATGTTGGCAGTAAGTCAATCATCATTTAATATTATTAATACTACAACTGACTGTTAAACACTTTGCTGCTCTATATTAAAGGATGCGCGTTTTCACTTATATATATATTTTAATTTTATTTTTTAGTTCACATTGAATGTTTGGCAGTCAACCTTGTAATGATGGTTTTCATTGTCTTGGCATCTGTGAATTATAATTGTTTATTTATTAATAACTTGATTTTATATAATAACTTGAGTTTTCAGAGCTTCAGTTCTTTATTCTTCATTGATAATTACATTCTAAATGCTAAAGAGGTGCACCGAAATCAAATGTACATTAGTTTGTCATTTTGGCACCACTTTGACTTTGCTTGAACATTTCAGACAGTAAATACATTTTCTGATCAGTGCATTGATTTTTTTTTAAGTCAGTAAATATTTTCCACCTAGAAATTCTGTTTGCTTAATTGTATTTTTGTTCATATTTGAAAGGTTAATAATTTATAGTAGACATGACAGACAAAAGTTGTATTTTCTGTTTTTTAAAGCAAACTTTTGTACCCAATTTTTGTCATGCCGTCATCAAAAATTGTAATGAATTCCTGCAGTTATTGTGTTTATTCATATCAGAAATTTTATGCTTTTTTAATAAAAGTGACTAACATTGAGGTTGATAATGAAAATGTCTCTTCCAATCAATATATGTTTCACCGAACTTTCATTGCTTTGCTGATCACAGGCTTTGTAAAAATTCATTTAGGTGACAGTTTGCAGTTTAATATTATAAAAATGACTAATAAAACTATCACTGTATTAATTATTCCTATATTTTTATGAAGCTGAAAGGAGAGAAATGCTTTCTTCTTCACTGAGTTGACTGTTGTGTGTTTGTCAGGCGTCACTCGTCCTAAAGTGAGCGTCCTGCCGCCCGTGCGCTCATTGGCGCCCCTTCAGCTGGTGGCGCCCTAGGCGACCGCCTAGCTCGCCTATGCCTAGAAACAGCCCTGACTGTGACTCTGACTGACGGAGGTTTTTGTACGACTCTCTATCACTGTGTGAACACATAGTCACCCACACAAGAACTACCACTTTTTCTGCAATTAAAACTCTGACAATAATAATGTCCAGCATCTTCAGTCTGGACTCCACTGATGGTCAGAGTGAAATCACTGTTAGATCCACTGCCACTGAATCTAGATGGAGTTCCTGACTGGAGGGTGTTTGTTCCATAAATCAGGAGTTTAGGAGCTTCTCCAGGTTTCTGTAAGTACCAGCTAAGACACTGCTTTCCATTACAACAGAAGGCTGGATCACTGTTAAATGTACAGGTTACAGTGACTGATTGTCCAGTTTAAGCGAGCAGCACTGAAGGAGTTTGAGTCACTCTCACCTGCCCAATAGATTCTGTCAAATGAGAAAGATTAGAAATCACAAACACTTTTACACCATATATCTTCACAGCATAAAAATATCAAGTAAATAATACAATTAATCCTTCCAGACACAAACCTCTACATAATACTGCCAGCATCCAGATCAATATGTTGATGAAAGTCATTTTTGTTGGTTGTAGGTTCAGTTAGAGTGTAAAACAGTTATTGATCATGTTTGATGTTTGTCAGAGTTATAAACACATGCAGAGCACTGAAGCGTGGCGCTCATGTAAAACACACTCTCTATGCAAACACTGCAGCAGTGAACAGGTTTAAGTTGGTTTAATGTGCTGTTTCACTGAACAGGACAATAAACTGAGGTCACTGAAACCTCACTGACAGACGTGCTATTGTGTTCACAATATAACTGATCACAGTTTTTTTAATGCTTTGTAATGACTGATCCTAGGAATCATAGCAATCATATGAAAGGCACAGACTGATTCAATAATATATGACAATATTCAGAATATGAGTGTGTGCTTGTGTAGGGCCTTAAAGTGATGTCAAGTGGTTTCACACAAGTTGTCAGGAATTAAAGTGACGTGCAACTAACTAACTACTTGTAATGGTTGTGTGTGGAGGGGGATGGTGGGTAATGTGATGTAGGGACCACAATTTTACACCAGAATTACACCCTTATCTTTCTGAGAAAGACTCTGGGGTTTATATTAACCACACATGGGTTTTTTTACAGTACAGTTTATTAACAGCATACTGGGGTGTAAGGACCCACTCAGACCACAGGATGAGATCCACCTGCTGGTCTCACTAACATCTCTTCCAGCAGCAACCTGGTCTTCCTCGAAGGTCTCGCATCCAGATACAGACCAGACTCAACCCTGCTGAGCTTCAGTGGATGTGCAGGAGAAAGCTGCAGGTTGATGATGCTGGCTTGTGCAGCAGGACACCTCAAGTGTCCCATATACATCTGGCCCAGAGCTTTCCAGAAACAGACAAAGATGGACTTTTAATCTAGTTGTTGCTCTCGACTAATGGTTTGACCCTTATGAATATTAAGAATGAACGATTTATTTAGATGATTTTATTTCAGATGCATTTGTGATGATATTGTTTCACATCCTCATGAGCAGCTGCAGCATCAGTTCAGTCACTGTGACTCTGACTGACGGAGGTTTTTGTACGACTCTTTATCACTGTGTGAACACCCAGTTACTGTTCATCCAGTGTATGCTCTGACAGTAATAATGTGCAGCATCTTCAGTCTGGACTCCACTGATGGTCAGAGTGAAATCTGTTCCATAATCTGCTCCATTGCCACTGAATCTAGATGGAGTTCCTGACTGCTGTGAACTAATGTCATAAATGAGGAGTTTAGGAGTTTCTCCAGGTTTCTGCAGATACCAGGCGAGACAGTCTCTACAACCCTGTGAACGATCTCCAATTCCTCTGCTAGTTTGACAGTTTAAAGTAACTGTTTCTCCTGGCTGAACAGCTGCTACTGAGGGAGTCTGAGTCACAGAAATTTGTCCTGCAGTTTCTGTGAATGACATTTCAGTTATTAGAGTATCCAGTAAAAAAAAAGCAAGTTTACCATTAAAACATGCATATAAATCACATTTTGAGTTATCGAGTAAATGAACCTTGGACAGAAAGAATGAGTGTCCAGATACAGACGCTGATGATCATCATCTTCTTGCTGGTTGCTCTTTCAGTTAAAACAGAGAAAAGCTCTCAGTCATGAAGTGTTAAACTCACAGCGCTATAAACACTCTCAGAGCACTGAAGCATCTGATCAATATGCAAACACACTCCACATCATTTACAGTAGGTAAAATAAGTATTGAACACGTCACCATTTTCTCAGTAAATATATTTCTAAAGGTGCTGTTGACATTACATTTTCACCAGATATCGGTAACAACCCACGTAATCCATACATACAAAGAAAACCAAACAAATAAGTTCACAAATTATGTTCTGTGTAATAAAATGGAATGACACAGGGTAAAAGTATTGAACTACTGAAATGTATTTAATACTTAATACAAAAGCCTTTATTGGTAAAGATAGCTTCAAGACACCTCCTGTATGGAGAAACTAGTCGCATGCATTGCTCAGGTGTGATTTTGGCCCATTCTTTCACACAAACAGTCTTCAAATCTTGAAGGTTCTGTGGGCCTCTTCTATGAACTCTGATCTTTAGTTCTTATTTTCTATTGGACTCAAGTCAGGTGATTGCATGGGCCATTCTAGCAGCTTTATTTTCTGTGTTCGGGATCTTTGTCTTGCTGAAATGTCCACCCTTGTTTCATCTTCATCATCCTGGTACTGTAGGTGTTGGGACTGAACCAGCTAATATTAATTTCCACTGACAAGGGGCAGGATTGCTTTCTAATTACTGATAGATTTCAGCTGGTGTATTGGCTTTCCATGCCTTTTTGCACCACCCTTTCTTCATGTGTTCAATACTTTTTCCCTGTATCATTCCATTTTATTACACATAACTTAATTTCTAAACTTGGTTGTTTTGTTTTCTTTGTATGGATAACTTGGGTTGTTACCGACATTAGGTGAAAATTTCAAGTCAAGTCATAAGTCAAGTCATTTCAAGTCATAAACATTTTGTTTATGCAACAGCTCTGCTAGTAAGCACTAGATGCTTGTGACTTGTTGCATTATATTGAGCTAGGCTGAAATATTTTAATGACCAATTTCATTAAGACTTAAGACTTTCAGTGATGGATTGTAATTCATCAGTGTGTCGTTCCGTCACTAAAGTTTCAACTGCTGTTGATGGATTGTAATAGTTGAAACTTTCAACTGCTGTTGATGGATTGTAATAGTTGAAACCAGCTGCGTTTAGCAGTTTTCAGCTGGTGTATTGGCTTTCCATGCCTTTTTGCACCACCCTTTCTTCATGTGTTCAATACTTTTTCCCTGTATCATTCCATTTTATTACACATAACTTAATTTCTAAACTTGGTTGTTTTGTTTTCTTTGTATGGATAACTTGGGTTGTTACCGACATTAGGTGAAAATTTCAAGTCAAGTCATAAGTCAAGTCATTTCAAGTCATAAACATTTTGTTTATGCAACAGCTCTGCTAGTAAGCACTAGATGCTTGTGACTTGTTGCATTATATTGAGCTAGGCTGAAATATTTTAATGACCAATTTCATTAAGACTTAAGACTTTCACTGATGGATTGTAATTGATCAGTGTGTCGTTCCGTCACTAAAGTTTCAGCTGCTGTTGATGGATTGTAATAGTTGAGAACAGCTGTGTTTAGCAGTAAATGTGAACTGAAGCTCTTGGGGTTTGAACATGGTCTCTGGAGACGGAGCTGCTCTATTCTGAGACGATCAGAATCACAAAAGCTGCCAATGCAAACCTGATTTTCAGCTCAAACTCACAGTTTCCCTGTTTGATCGGTTCAATGCTCTGAGCTGGAACAGTTTCACTTCTGCTCATGCAATGATGAGACAGTTATGAAGTTAGGAGCTCATGAGTAGTTCTGTGTTTGGTCTCTGTGTGTCAGTAGTGAGTGATAGTGTTTGAGCAGCTGCAGCATCAGTTCATCACTGTGACTCTGACTGACGGAGGTTTTTGTATGACTCTTTATCACTGTGTGAATATACGATCAGCCACACAAGAACCACCACTTTTTCTGCAATGAAAACTCTGACAGTAATAATGTCCAGCATCTTCAGTCTGGACTCCACTGATGGTCAAAGTGAAATCTCTGTTAGATCCACTGCCACTGAATCTAGATGGAGTTCCTGACTCAAGGCTTTTTACATAACGAATCAGGAGTTTAGGAGTTTCTCCAGGTTTCTGTAGGTACCAGAATAATCCTTCATCCCCATCACTATATCTGTACACATCTGTGCTGGTTCTACAGTTGATTTTGACTGTTTCTTCTGGTTGAGCTGCTGTCGTTGAGGGACTCTGAGTGACGCTGATCTGTCCTCTACTCTCTGAAACACACAACAAGAAGAAAATCAACTCAAAACTCTGACAATATACTTGAAGAAATTAATTCATATCAAACTTGTGCTCCACAAACCTTGAGCAAACGCTGTGAGAGTCCAGATGAAGATGATGATGAAGGTCATGTTGATGAAGATTGTTGTGTGTGTCAGTGATGAAGTGTTAAACTCACAGCACTATAAACACTCTCAGAGCACTGAAGCATCTGATCAATATGCAAACACACTCCACATCATTTACCTGGAGACAGTTGCTCATTATCAGACACAAAATACAATTACTGAAATAAGATAAAAATGAGTCTTTTTCATAATATTATATCTTCTAAAAGCCAAGCTTTTACAAATTGTATCAGATCACTCACTATAGAATTCATCTTTAAGACCAACACAGGTGCATCTTGAAAAGCGGATGTTTTGGAAAGTGCTACGCCACGGTTTTGTGCCATCTAGTGGTTTAGAGGAAAATAATATCAAAGATGCCTTTAGCCCCGCTGTACCATATTTCACCAAACTTCCATTGCTGTTTACTGGCTTTATAAAAATGAATTCCGGTGACTTGCAGTTTAATGTTGTTAAAATGGCCAAGAAAAGCTATCATTGTATTTATTTTGTATATATTTTTGAAAATGTTTTGAAAGGAGGGAAATGCACTGAGTTCTTCTTCACTGAGTTGACTGTTGTGTGTTTGTCAGGCGTCACTCGTCCTAAAGTGAGCGTCCTGCCGCCCTCCAGTGCAGAGATCTCCTCAAAGAAGACAGCGACACTGGTGTGTGTGGCCAGCAAGGGCTTCCCGTCAGACTGGAGCCTGAGCTGGAAGGTGGACGGGAGCAGCAGGTCTCAGGAGAGCAGCGCTGGGCTCCTGGAGAAGGACGGTCTGTACAGCTGGAGCAGCAGCCTGACTCTCTCTGAGCAGGAGTGGATGGAGAGCGTCTCAGTGAGCTGTGAGGCCACACGGAGCGGCCAGCCTGCGCTCACTGGACACGTGACGAGACAGCAGTGTTCAGAGTAGATCTGCTGCTCTTCTCACTCATGTCTCACATGGAGACTAACAGCACATGAGCGACTCCTTCATTCTCCACATCCAGCTTCAGTCGCTCGCCTCTGCATCTGCTCTGCTTTGTGTGCTTCATACAAGACTATATGTGTGCTTTATCATTCTGTCGTGATTTTATTGCGATTCAGTCAATAAATAAAACTGTAGCTTCATGTCTTTGAGTCTTTTTGTGTCATTTTCATTTCAGGTCTTTCATTGGTTCAAAGCTTTAGCTCACATTTTATGAATAAACTTCACTCAATGGAGCATGAAAACACCTGCAGATTCATGATGATACAAGAACATGCGGCCAAATTATGAACCTCACAAATAAAATGGTAGATAACTTTAATAAGATAAAGTATTGTACATTTAAGTATTTATCATTTTAAAAACTAAAATAAATGCTTTATATTTCATTCAGTGTTTATAAAAATCATCTCTGTTGAGTGAGTGATAGTGTTTGAGCAGCTGCAGCATCAGTTCAGTCACTGTGACTCTGACTGACGGAGGTTTTTCAGCTTTGAATATGCTGTTTCACTTGTCTCTTGTTTGTCTTTTTCAGTGATCTGTCATCTGCTCTGCTTTTTGCATTTTATTGATTTCATAAAAATTCAATAAAAATTTAACTTCGAATGCATTTGTGTTGTTTTCATTTAAGATCTTTCATTGGATCAGGACTTTAGCTCACATTTTATAAATGAACTTCATTCACGTAGCAACACCTGCAGATTCATGATGAAACAAGAACACATGGCTGTTAAAGGGGTCATATGATGCTATTTTAAAGATCATTATTTTAATAAAGTGCTTTTGCTTTCGCACTGAAACACACAGCGTTTCCCTGACATGCTGCATCAACACTACTCCTGTTCCTGAAACTACGCCTTCTTTCTTTGCGAGCACATTTGGGCGGCATTATGCTAATATTTCCACATTGTGACGTAGACATGTGGGGGCGTGTTAAAACGAGCCGTTTTAGGTAGGCGTGGTTGAATATTAACTTTTATAAAGAATATCTCTTTGGATTTGAGACTTTAGTCTTTGCAACTTTACAGATCTTCTTTATGCACCAAGAGCTTGTAACACTCCAAAGAGAAAGGAAAACTTGAAATCACATCATATGACCCCTTTAAGGCCTGTGTTTTTCAGACTATAACAATAACGCACTGGTAAAGAAACCCAAAAAGAATCAAACTTAAAGTAAATGAACTAAAACTGTCAGTTCTGAAGGGTGCTGTGACACACAAAACCAAATACATGAGAGTCACAACAGACTCAAACCAGAAAAACAAGACAGTCAGCAGGGCTGAAATTAAATGAGTGAATTTACCACAGAGAGGAAAAACAGACAGCAAATAATAATCAAGACTCGATAGAGAAACACATTAAACAGGCTGACAGCAGCTGCTCCATCAAAACCCTCTCTGCTGCTCATCACAGAACACTGAGATTTAAACTCAGTCATCACTGCAGAATTCTGATTGTTAAAAAGGCTCAAAACATCGTTGTGTTGCTGGTGATTTACAATAACTTTACAGTGTAGCTTAATGTACAAAAACATTATTGTTTGTTTGATTTGAAATCAATGTACACACTCCGTTTTCTCTGATTCTGAGCATAATTGAGTCAAACCCGTCTGTCACAGCACAGATTACAGTCTAAGGCCTTGTTTACACTGCAGGTCTTGATGCCCAATTCTGATTTGATGCCTATACCCATATCCGATTCATGTGTTTAAACTTGCCATATCATCTGAAACATCCAGGGGCCTGTTTCATAAAACAAGTTTACCAAATAAGCCAGGTTTATTTCAGTTAGTCTGACTTATTGTCAGTTGATTTGAGAAAACAGAAAATCCGATCTGCCTGTTTACATGAGAGTCACATTGGCACATATCTGATTTATATCTGATTCATTTCCACATATGAATGAGGCCTGAAACCGATCTTGAAATATCCGAATGCATGCATTTTTTTCCTGTTTACACATCATGCTAGAACACATCTGATCTGTGTCACATATGCGCAAAAAATCGGAATTGGGTCACATTTAACTGAGAATGTATACATAGCCTAATAGAGCTGGGGGCTGTTTCATAAAACAAGCTTACCAAATAAGCCAGGCTTGTTGTCACTTGACTTGGTTCAAAATATGTCAGACTAACTGAAATAAGCCTGGCTTATTTGGTAAACTTGTTTTATGAAACAGCCCCCAGATTTGACTCCTGACTCAGTTTTGAGCTCATGTGTAGTTCTGTGTTTGGTCTCTGTGTGTCAGTAGTGAGTGATAGTGTTTGAGCAGCTGCAGCATCAGTTCAGTCACTGTGACTCTGACTGACGGAGGTTTTTGTACGACTCTTTATCACTGTGTGGATACATAATCACCCACACAATCACCATCAGAATCTGTTCTGCAGTGAAAACTCTGACAGTAATAATGTCCAGCATCTTCAGTCTGGACTCCACTGATGGTCAGAGTGAAATCACTGTTAGATCCACTGCCACTGAATCTAGATGGAGTTCCTGTCTGGAGGCGGTTTGCCCAATAAATCAGGAGTTTAGGAGCCTCTCCAGCTTTCTGTAAGTACCAGTATAACAAATCATCAGAACCGTCATTGTGCACATCTCTGCTGGTTCTACAGTTGATTTTGACTGTTTCTTCTGGTTGAGCTGCTGTCGTTGAGGGACTCTGAGTGACGCTGATCTGTCCTCTACTCTCTGAAACACACAACAAGAAGAAAATCAACTCAAAACTGACAATATACTTAAAGAAATTAATTCATATCAAACTTGTGCTCCACAAAACTTGAGCAAACGCTGTGAGAGTCCAGATGACGATGATGATGAAGGTCATGTTGATGAAGATTGTTGTGTGTGTCAGTGATGAAGTGTTAAACTCACAGCACTATAAACACTCTCAGAGCACTGAAGCATCTGATCAATATCCAAATGAACTGATCCTGTATTTAAATGAGCTTCTAAGTGAAGATTGCTTGTTCATTTTATTTGGTCAATCATTGCGTCTTCTCATCACACTTTTTTTTGTTTGTTTTGTAAATTAGTTTGACTGGTGCTTTATCTTCTGTCAGTTTATTATGGGATTGGACTAGGATTATGGATGTATTAATAACTTTAAATATTTTGATTAGCGTTTTTGTATATAAATTAAGCACATTCATTTCAGCTTAGTTGGTTTGCGGGACCTTAAGAAACATCACTAGACTGCAGTGATGCATACTGGCTTTATGGTGCATTGTGGGAATTTTTTGAGTGTGAGCTTTATGTAATCCCTGAGTAGCGCACTGACTAGTGAACTAATTGTCAGGAAATACAAGATGGATTCAAATGCGAGGTTAGATGGTAATTTATTAAACGTGACCAAGCGGAGCCACAGCTGAACCTCGTGAACTCATCAACGGTAGTAAACAGAACGACCAGAAGGGGCCGATGCATCTATGAACCGTGACAGTACCCCTCCCCATAGGAGAGAACCTACCAGTCAAATTGTAATCATCGATGAGGGAGTGATCCAATATGTCCCTGGCAGGGACCCAACTTCTCTCCTCTAGACCGTAACCTTCCCAGTCCACCAAATACTGGAATCCGCGTCCCCTCTGTCTCGAGTCCAGAATGCGGTTAACCGAATAAACAGGTTCCCCATCTACGAGACGCGGCAGGGGGGGAACGGGGACTGGCGGATTAATAGGAGAACGAAAAACGGGTTTCAATTTAGACACATGAAAGATGGGATGGATCCTCCTGTACGCTGGAGGAAGTTTGAGACGGACTGCCACTGGACTAAGAATTTTAGTGACAGTGAACGGGCCAATGAATTTAGGAGCCAACTTACTAAACACGGAGCGGAGCGGAATATTTTTACTAGAAAGCCACACTTTTTGACCGACGACGTAGACGGGAGGCTTCGACCGGTGGCGATCGGCCTGGGCCTTGCTGTGCGCCCCCACCCGGAGAAGCGTCTGACGAGCAGTTCTCCAAGTGCGGTGGCACCTCTGGACAAAGGCGTGGGCAGAGGGGACCGCGACTTCGGATTCCAGATCAGGAAAAATAGGTGGCTGGTACCCTACGCTACACTCAAATGGAGAAAGGCCCGTAGATGACACTGGCAATGAGTTGTGTGCGTATTCCACCCAAGAGAGTTGTTGACACCACGAGGATGGGTTCTGCGAAACCAAACATTGTAACACCCGTTCCAGATCTTGGTTGGCCCGCTCTGTCTGCCCGTTGCGCTGAGGATGAAAACCAGAAGACTAACACTCGCCCCCAGTAGCCGACAAAATTCTCTCCAAAATTTGGAAACAAATTGGGGACCCCTGTCAGAAACCATGTCCGTCGGGAGGCCATGAATGCGAAAGACGTGATCAATGACCGCCACCAGAACCTTTGTTTAATTAATGAATTAGTTCGATTAATCCCCGGGTGACAAGCAATCCTGGAACAGTGGCCCCAGCGGATGACGTCTGACCTTAAACCCTCCGGCACAAATAACCGACCCGGTGGACATCCGAACGGAGGCATTACCCCTTGTAAGGCCGTGCGGACCTTAGACTCAATCTCCCAAGTGATGGTGGAGACAACAAATCTCTCGGGTAAAATTAACTCGGGAGTGGTCTGTCGAACGGTCGAAAATGCGGGACAAAGCAGCGGGCTTGATGTTCTTGGAGCCCGGACGTTACGAAATGGAGAAATCGAATAGACCGAAAAAAAAGAGCCCACCGAGCCTGCCTGGAGTTGAAACGTTTAGCCGACCTGATGTACTCAAGGTTCTTGTCGATGAGAAAAAAAAAAAAATGTGCAAGGGTGCATCCTATCGTCCGCAGAAGAACGTTGGGATAGAACCGCACCAACCCCACCTCTGAAGCATCGACCTCCACCACAAACTGACATGAAGGATCAGGGGCAATTAGAATAGAAGCCGAAACAAAGCGGCTCTTGAGGTTAGTAAATACAACGTGAGCTGCACTAGACCACCTGAACGCAGCCTTGGTGGAGGTCAAGGCAGTCAGAGGGGCAGCTAGTTGGCTGAAGTTGCGAATGAAACGCCGGTAGAAATTGGCGAACCCCAGGAACCTCTGTAGGGCCTTACGGGACCCAGGGGTTGGCCAATCCACCACAGCCTTAACCTTGTCGGGATCCATGCGCATTCCTT